AAAAAGGACAGAGTTGGGATGGAAGAACCATGTAAGCAATCTTAGAGAATATCCATGGAAATAAAGGGTAAAACATTACATTCATCAAATATATTTTTAACTCCATTACTAATAATTTGAGTTACACTAGGATTTTTTCAGTCTTTTGTTTAAATTTGAAACTACATTGTTCAGAAGTGATTTTGAGAAGCAGAAAAGGAAATATATCCATACGCCGCCATTCTACCAAAAATACAACCCCAGTTTGTTTTCAAACCAAGTTTGCCATTTCTGTTTCAACTTGTACAATAATGAAAAGGATCGAAAGAAAATTTGATCTCCTACATTCCTGCAAATATATAAGAAATATAAGCAAATATACTTTTAAAATATCATCTTGCCAGAAACCAGACAAGAACTCCCTTAAAACAAAATCAATGGTCTTTACAAATAAAAAAAATATTTTGTTTTTAAGTTGTTACATATAATATCATCTGTCGTTAAAAGAAATAAAGCTCCAATTTTTTTTAATGACATACATGTATATTCATAACAAAAAACAACGCCTTGGTTGTATTCTCCATATGGGAGCACGATCGATTAAAATGTCTGGCAGTATTAGTTGTTTTTTTTTTAATACATGCATCTACAAGACACATGTGGATGCGTATAGAAAACAAACAGAATAGTTGGGGAGAAATCGCTCTTTATACTTACATTTGAAAAAAATATTTTGATTAACCTCTGGCTTTTCATTCAAGTCATAAAACAGATGAAATTAAATCATACACATTTATAATATAATTGTCATAGGAGATGCCTCCCGTGGGCCCGATTCAGAAGTTAGTTCTACTCTAAAGTACTGTAGTTTTCTTTCTAGTCAAATGTGTCTGAAAATTTATGTTGTTAACAATTTCAGATCATTGACGAGTCAGATAAAGAAATTATATTTAATTCAACAAGGAAAAGGTGCTAGAGACAATTAAGCTCCGAGAATAAAAAGTACAGAGAGAAAGAGAATTTATTTCTACAAGGAAAAAGTTCTAGAGACAGACTCCCCAAATAAAAGGTACAGAGAGAAAGAGAATTTATTGCTACATGGAAAAAGTTCTAGAAACCAACGCCTCAAATAAAACGTACAGAGGGAAAGAGAATTTATTTCTACAAGGAAAACGTTCTAGAGACAAGCTCCAAAAATAAAATGTAGAGAGAGAAAGAGAATTTATTTCACCAAGGACAAAGTTCTAGAAACAAGCTCTCAAAATAAAACGTAGAGAGAGAAAGAGAATTTATTTCAACAAGGAAAGAATTCTAGAAACAAGCTCCCAACATAAAACATAGAAAGGGAGAAAGAGAATTTATTTCACCAAGGAAAAAGTTCAAACGCTCAAAATAATGATCGACAAACTGGACAAATTCAAATTTAAAAAGTATTTTCACAGCTAATAATACGTTCCCTAGGAAGAGAATTACCGAAAAATAAGACAAAAGAGAAAGACAAGCAGAATTGGACTCCCCAAATAAACAGTAGAAAGGGAGAAAGAGAATTTATTTCATTATTTTTTTACAAGGTAGAAGTTCTAAAAGAAACAAGCTCCCAACATAAAACATAGAAAGGGAGAAAGAGAATTTATTTCACCAAGGAAAAAGTTCTAGAGACAAGCTCTCCAAATAAAAAATAGAGAGAAAAAAGGAGAATTTATTTCAACAAGGAAAAAGTTCTAGAGACAAGCCCCCCCCCCCCCCCAAAAAAAAAAGTAGAGAGAGAAAAAGAGAATTTTTTTCTACAAGGGAGAAGTTCTAGAGACAAGTTCCCCAAACAAAACGTAGAAAGGGAGAAAGAGAATTTATTTCAACAAGGATAAAGTCCTAGAGACAAGCTCTCCAAATAAAACGCAGAGAGAGAAAAAGAATGCATTTCAACAAGGAAAGAGTTCTAGAGACAAGCTCCCCAAATAAACAGTAGAAAGGGAGAAAGAGAATTTATTTTAACAAGGAAAAAGTTCTAGAGACAAGCTCCCCAAATAAAAGGTAAAGTATGGCGAAAGGTCAATGATTTTTATTAAAAGAGAATAAAACATAAAGAATGAGAAACGTTCCCCAAGGCTCTCCCACCAAGTCCCGGGGAGTTAATGATACTTATAAGAAAAATCAAGTTCATAACCGAAGTTATTAGATTCAAGAGAGTCGATCCAAAATGATGCCCTGTGTCCTCAATTGGCCCTTAGAGTCCTGGCCATCTTTAGCCAAAAGGTCAGCGACGAGTGAAAAGATTTTCTCGGTTTGGCCCGAGGAGGATAAAACTTCACGCATTTAAAAACCTAAGTATTTCTCACCCCGTGTAATTTTCTCAGTTGGAAAGTGCACCGGAAATATAATTTTAGTCGTTTTGGATGTTTCATTCAAATACACAAAACAAAGGATGCGGAAAATATAGCCTTTTTGAGCGTAATCGCCGAATCGTATTTAATTATACGCAACACGCGTTTCTATGAGATGCTAAATTTTGTACAGTATTGTCATTTTCCTGATAAACTCAAATCTACAATTTTTTATGAAGATGATAAAAGAAGTTAATTTAGGCAAAGTATTTGTTGACGTTGTGGAACAATGTTATGGATTTTTTCTTTACAATAAATCGTGCATACAAACTAATATTGCCTTCCTCGCCTATTTGAGTCAACGATTCTCGGTTTACATAATATCCTTTGTTGGACTGTTTAATATGGGTTTTTTTTCGTATAATACAAAGGTATTTGAATTGAAGCAAATCAAAAAATAAAGCTTTATTATGTAAATTTTATTACATCCAAGATTCGGTGGATATAACATATTCAGATAAATTACATCAAAAATTGGTTTGACATCAATTACTGCAAAAAGAATGCTATAACTGGGGAAAAAATTGTATAAAAAAAACAATTTTTTTTGTCTAATGAATAAAATGCTAATGGGTTTTTTAAATGGTTATACACATGTATTACTGGTACTTATCCGCCAAAATGTTTAAATTCCGAAATTGATTTTACTATTTACATGTGTACATGCACATTTATTATCGTCGAAAAAGCTGTAAGTACATTATATTTGAAGAGGAAGGACGAGAAAAAAAAGAAGTCGGTTAATTTTCTTTCGAAAGTGTACATACTTATAATAAGATGTACCATCACTGCAACGCGCTGTTCATTAAAAAATATTGATGATATAAAAGAGAGAAAACAATTTACAGATAAATTTTCAGATATATAATGCAAAAATACCACATTAAGCTATTCAAAATAAACAGTCGAATTTATCTTTCTAAAATATTATGGAATTAAATTTCGGTGTTGATGTGTGTCAATTTTGAGCGTCACAGCAAATACAGCAAAAATTTTAATCCATGTTCTAATATCACATTGACAGAGAACATTTTGTCAGGTAAAATGTATTTTGGATAGAGTACGATTCAAAATCCACTTGTTTTCGATATGAAGAAAAACGTAAAAACTTTCATGTATGTGTTACATAAAAGTGTTAGATGTATATCATGTTTCCGCATTAATAAAAATATATCACTCTGAGTTTTTTTTCTGTAGCTACATGTTCCCAGAGAGTGGGCTAAAGAGAGAGAGATGCATTAATCGGGCGTTATTTTTTGCTTTCTTCTAATTTCCAGAGAGAGAGATGGACGAATCGGGCGATATATTTGCTCTTGCTTCTTGTTTCCAGAGAGAGAGAGAGAGAAAGAGAGAGAGAGAATAGATTAGAACAATGATGATAAAACCCAGACCCGCAAACGTCGTGTCTTATCCAAACCCAAGAGATATTAAGGGTAAACTCCCTCCCATTTTAATCCGCATGACACATTCCATAAGGGCTTCTGCTGAATTTTTTCATTCGACCTTCGTCATTAGAAATAAATTTCCCATTAATTTTTTATTTAGATACTGAATAAAAGGCGGCTCTTACAGAGAGGAAGAGCGACAAATGGACCTCGCGACACCATTCACTTACTAGTGTTTACCCGCTTTTGTTGGCTTCAGCAGTAAATTAAAGAGGACGAGTTTTTTGTTAAAATGTCAAAATTATGACGAGCTGCGAAATGGGAAAAAAATGTCGGGACCAAGGGGTCCACGCTGTTATTAAGAAGAAAAAAGGAGATAATGATTTTTAATCTCTTGCTGAGTTTGTTAATGTTTCAAATTTGGAATTAAAAGAAAAATAATTGCCTTTTTGGCATATCATTATCGAATTGTGTCAGAATTATTTTAAATCTAGTGTCAAAATATCTTTCTTTACGTGGTTTGGAATCAGAGACAGTGAAAGATGTAAGTGTCTAGAAGTAGTTCCATTTTATCTTCCTATTTTTTGTTTCATTACAATTGTGCAGCCTTAAGTATCGCAATTGTTAAAAACCCTAAGTGCACTACTAAATGTAAAGAGTACTTAAAACAGTTCGAAAAATGTGTGCAAGATTTTTCCTACCGCACGCCTTGTTGTAAAGGGAACTTTTCCACAGCGTTAAATGTATACTTTACAATGTTGAAACTGAGAATATTATAAAAAGTCAGCTACAAAGCATGACATCGGTATCAACGTATCACACTGAAAAAAAAAAGTAATTCTAGATATGGCGATGATTTTCCAAGGTTTTAACTTACGCAAAGGTTTATAACAAGTTTAAACTGTGAAGAATTTAATATTGTTATTCAGGATAAATTAGGGGTTTAATCGGGCATACTGCCATACAAATTTAAAAAAAGAGAGAATATCATAGACACTGTATTTTTTTTTAGGAAGTTTAAAAATTTCCGGGTGTTGAGCAAAAAAATAAGCCATATGATATTAAATATGAATAACCATTCAAAGACCACGGGAGCATAATTACTCTGTTTACAAAATAACTTCTGTTGTAATTTCTGAAAAATTGAGACTTCCTTATAGAAAATGAAAGGGTGTTTACAATTTCAAAAATATTTTTACACATATAATCACCCTTGTTCCTGGTTAGTTTCTGATTAACAGCTGTTATTTCTTACCCTGGGTTCTGATGAGGGGTCCGGTCTCTTTGCCTGCGGTTTTTGAACCAGTTACTGACTTGTGTTAAAGTCAATCCCGTTTTCTTGGCTAAATTCCGCTTTTCATCAGGAGTGGGGTACCTGTTGCTTTTATAGCACTCTTTCAAAGACTGTCGTGATTTCTCTTTAAAACAGTATATAGTTTCTTCTCCATCCCAGATTGTTTTAGGTAAAGGGTACTTCCTACGTAAACGATACTTATCCACTGCCCCTAAAGGCCTTCCTCGAATTTTCTGGGCCTCCATATAATGTGCTTTGTACCACAGTTGCTGAAGAAAAGCATGATTGGTCTCATCGAATTTGTGACTTTCCAGGATGGCGTATAGTTCCCTGTAGCCCCCGCGGTGAAAGGCCACAGTGGCTCTTGCTTTGAGCACAGCTTCACTCCCCCTCAGCAATTCACTGGGAGGAAGGGACCACAAAAATCGCCCCAGTCTCTCAATGTCTCCCTTCTGCTGCAGGGCTTCACAAACACACGCTACATGTTCCGGCGAGAAAGTTAAATTTTTACCAGACAACAACTCTGAATTTGTTGAATTTGAACAGGGAGATTCAGATTCCGGAGTCTGATCGTCTGCATCCAACAACCGATTGTTCTTGTGTTCATTTGAGAGAGTATCCATGTTCAGAACATCTTCAGAAGGGGTGTTAGGTAGGTCCCCCGGGGAACAATTTGACACAGGATCCACTGGTAAAATACCAGAATCTCCATTGCTTGAAGAATCCATACTGGTCCTCCTTTTTAGACTCAACTATTCTACTTTCGGAAAAAAATGTTATTCACATTTAATAAAAAAAACTTAATCTAACAAGCATTGATATGTACTATCTTTGTACCAAGTTTTAATTGCTGTATTTCAGAGCTGTGTATTTCTATTGGCCAAGTGTGAAGAAGAGGGAGTTCCGCTCGCTGAATGGAAGGCGTGTCACGCGCGCGGTCCTATCGTCTGCTTGTCAATAGAATCGTTGGATGTCATCAGGAGACTGCCAAATGATGGACTTCCTCTTAATATAATGAGCAGCATGTTCTATTCAGGTAGACACAATATATATTGTATAGATATCGACTCTTTCCTGGAAACAATAAGCATATAACTACCCAACGATTTAAAAATGAAGGTTTAAAAAAATTCCCCGCTTATATTTGGTGGTCGTATGATCGACACAATTTTTCAAGCAGGAAAACATCTTATATAAAAAAATATTCATGTGTATCAAACAATCTGATAAATATGCTAATACCGAAAAACGATATTTTAAAAATTCTGCGCGCCGTAACGAATCCGGCTTCTTTAATAAAAAGGCCATACTCAATAATGCGCATTAATAATTATGAATTGACAGCGTCTGATAGAAGAATAAAATACTGTCGAGGCTTGTGGAAGCAAGAGATCTGTTTCCCGTAAAACTAGAAGACAGCTCGATATCCCTTACCTCTTTTGCATCCATTAAATTAGTTTATGAAGAGAATAATAATTATGCAAGGTTCCCTTACCTTCCTAAACATAAACAATAGTAGATGTATAACGATTTTATTCTGTTACCGAAGACAGATTGTTCTTCAATGAAATTTTCTTTCTTTAACAAATGAGGCCTCTAAAAATCACGAAACAAATGGACGACTTTCATCTGACGACGTATTGTGTAGAATGTATCCTACACCTCCCTTATTCTGATAAGGAGCAAAACCCTCTTGTGAACTTATCAAACCCTCCACGTCTGAGCATCTTGGTTTTCTAGCATATCTTTTGAGGGGCGAAAATTTAGGAGGAGACTAAGTACTTTAATGCCAGAAATTCCTAGTTATGACTATTTAAAGCGTAATTGTACGTACTTTGAAACATTTCTCCACAGGCTTGCGAGTTTGGAGCTGAAGTATTAGGGACTCTTTCATTTATATATACCCCTAAAATGTCTTGAAAAACTCAAAATTTGAAAGAAAAAATACATTGTTCATATTTTTTTTAAAATTGAATTGATCTAACATGCGATAGTTTAATAACAATATGCTGGTATCATATTGTAAGGTTATGGAATATTGGGTTAATTTTCTGACAGTGAGTTTTGCTAAAGTTTAATAATTATGCCGTCGATTAAAATTACTGTGAAGCAATAGTAATTTTCAAGTAAGTTCGGTATGTTTTACCAACATGTACAATGTACATGTATAGACAGTTGTATTATTTTTTTATTTTTCAACATGAATGACTTTGCAATGCAATTCAGTTCAGTGCTTACGTTTAAACCTGTCGCTTATGTGAACACATATAGTGTCAGCTACATTATCTGTAAATTTCAAGACAAACTTCCAGTTCTGTGCACAGTTAGAGGAAACTAGGGAAAGTTTTCAATCCATTTTAATTCAGAGTGCTTCTCTGCCTAAAAGTTGTCCTGCAATTCAGGACCGCACAAACACTCTTCAAAATACTAGTATCAAAAGTAAGCAGTGCATGCCTAATATTAATCTTACCTCAAGTAGAGGTCCGAGGTGGAAAAAAATGTGTTGCAAGACGCAACATTTCCATTTAGAAAAATTGACAATTAAGGTCAAGATCTAGTAAATAACTTTACACAAATTTTTGGTGCTAGTTCCATTATGAAATCATAATTAACAAAATTGTGTTGAAATCATATGAAAAGTAAACCGGATACCTATATCAAATTTGATATTCATTTAAAGAAGAGGCCATGAACAACATTTCCATTTGGAAAAATTGACAATTAAAATTAAACTGTTTGATGCTGAAGAACCCTGGACTATTATGTTATTCTTGTATGTTAATTTCAAATGTGTTGATTGTGGTATTTTTTATTAGAAAAGTACATTCTAAAGTTCAACTAAAAATCTTTCACATAAAAACGGCGAGAAAAACACTGGAGTAGGATTAAAATGATTAATCCAATTTAGATACATGCAGGTACACTTCTTAAATTAGGTTTTGGGTATATTGATCGATGTGCAAGCTGTTTAGCAGTTATGCAAACTTTTTTTTGAAAATTTTCGCACTTATAACCTCATATCATTTTTGCTTTCCAAGTGTTTTACTTCATCGATATGTAAGTTTAGAGGGTGTTCACTTTCACGACGACCACTGTTTGAACAACCGTTGTAGTACGTGAAAAACCAATGAGAAACATTTTGGAAATTCACCTTTTGAAATATTAGGATACATAAAATTATGGAGCTGTTGTCCAATTTTTTTTTGTAAAAAGATTTGCATATTAGATAACACCTTCAAAATGCTACCATGATTAAAAATATAGGGCCATTCATTCTTTAGGTACAAAATATAGTCGTTATACATGTACATTGAATGCCTTAATTAAAATTCATACATGTAGTAACAAAAAATGTTACAAGTGTTTCGTGAAAATTATGTTTATCTTACCAACATAAATTTGAATTATTTATATTTTGAGGATGTCAATTAATTAGAAATTTCAAATTCTTTTAATTCATAAATCAGAATCAAATGTCATTTTACTTTACTGAAAATAATAAATTTTAAAGTGTTTTAGGCAAGAAATAATTTTTTTAATCTTTATTTTTATATTTAATTGATTTGAATTGAACGAATTCTATTGCAATGAATATATACAGTGGAATTGGAAATTGGAAGTTCTAAAAACTTAATTTGCCCTCTCCCTACATGTTCAATAAGACGTATCCAACAATTTGTACAGAATGAATTATCTCTAGGTTATTTTTAATGAGACATATGTTGATGACGAACAGTATTCAAGATCAAAGGTCCATAAAACAATACAAAATAGGAGCAGAGCAAACACGGACCTCCAAAACATCAGAGGTGGGATCAGGTGCCGTGGAGATCTAATTTTTAATTATAATAATATTACACACAGCATAATCTGGTTACACTTCTGTACCTAGTTATGTGTGGACTGAAAATCGAGAATGTGATAAAATTAAATTACTTTTGAAAAAATCAAATTTCCTGAACACTGTGCTTTTTCGGGGCAGAACTTGATAGAGAAATTAGGCACAATATTTGATACCTAGTTTAGTATACATATTTCATCTGCTTGATCTTTCACCGAAAGAGTTTCTTGAAAATGAAGTTTTACTTTTAAAACCTTTGGCAAAAGGCCTAATTGCTTTGGTCTTTGCTTTACTCGGTTATCAGATTACCGAATAGGTGCACAGGTAAAAATCAAAGGGGAAAATGTATACATGAAACGCCCGGTCCTATATTGCCTCTTGAAATGTTTCAGTATTAATCAAATCCGACCATTTTCTTTTCTTCGAAAAATGTCGAGGAAACAATGTTTTATAAGATAATATGAACTAATGTACGCGTCTTCAATCATTTCATCATCATAGAAGAAATCTTTTGGTAAAGAAACTACAGTATATTCAGGAAGCGCCAAATCTGGAATTGTTTCCAGGAAGAGCAGATCTTTATATTTATTTATCAACTTTTTTGATAGATAAAGAGAGATCAAGTAAGAGGTCCAGAGGCTTTGCTGTCGCTCTGGCATCTTTTTCCATCTCTCATTGGAATTGGAACTGTACAATATTAATGTTGTGATAAAAACACGGCTCGATTAGTTATAAAATGTCGGCAGATTGCTTTTAAAATTTTTACGCATAAATTAATATGTATCTCCTTCGTGCTCGTGGATAAAGTTTTAGGTAAAAATACTAGTAGGGACTATACAATTTCAATAACCGACTCGACGCAGACCTGAAACCTAAACCCTGGAGTTATGTATGTTGCAATATAAGTTAAGGGCTAATAGTGTGTTATATTTACATGTATATTCATGTCGATAGTTTCCCTGCTTCATGTGTATGTATGGGTCTGAGTGAGTTTTTTTTTCATTAGTTTTGGTCCCATCCCTTGTGGAGTGATATAAGAGAGGAGTGTCATTGTGTTTAGAATTTTAGAATTTGATTCCTTTTTTGTCGGTTTGGTATATGTATTTATGTACAAAATGTGGATTCAATTAAGTCGTTTCGAAGAATATCCATGTTTTTTTTTCAAAATAGAGGGACAGAGGGAAATGTAAATCATAACCTGTTTGTCAATGAAGTAATTCAGAAGATCTGAAATGAAATTGCCAAGCATGATAAACTTTATCTGAAATGAAGTCTGAGAGTAGAACACTTTTTATAAGAAAAGTTCAAGAAAATTATGCATAACTAAATTTCATTGGAAATCATAAAGGTACAGATTCTTCCTTACAAAGAACTATATGAATACAGAGTGCAAAACTGACTTATAACTTTATATGGTTATATGTATTATTTTCTAAATACATTGTAATTCCAAGCTTTGCAATAGGCTCAAACTTCATCACATGATCTAGTACATGTGATCATATCGTAATTAGATTTCATACAGACTTGTGTTGCTATTTAAAGATTCCAAAACACATATCGACAATTGTTTCTAAAAGAAAATGGCGTAAATGTTAAAAACAACAAAAGTTTGGACTATAATTAAGGTCAGAAGACACGTTCCTCAAATGAGACACATGGAGATAAAGAAGAGTATTCAAGATTAAAAATTCACAAAACAATACAAAATAGGAGCAGAGCAAACACGGACCTCCGAAACATCAGAGGTGGGATCAGGTGCCATGGAAAAGTGAGCATTCCCTGTCGACCGGTCACACCCGCCGTGTGCTCCTTGTCACGATCGGGAAATAACTAAAAAATCCGTCGTTCATTCAGCCTATTACTAATGGACGAACAATTAGTATGAAAAACGTCAGTCAGCATTTGACTCAATGATAAATTGTACTTACGAAATGATGACTTTAAAGGAAACTGCTGATACATAATTTTTCCCAAGATTTTGCCATTGAAGCACAGGTACTTGAACAAGTGTCCACAAAAAAATAGGGTACCTCACCAGATATTTGGAGA